CCGCAGATCTGACAAGAGCCGCTGTGAAATCTGCAATATGAGATACTTGTCTCAGTGCAAGAACAGTGAAAAGGCTATGAAGGCTTAGTCAATTGAAACTAAAACTATGAGTGAGATTGGAAGAAACGCTGTGTGGTATCAACACTTTCAGAAGACATTCAAAAAGCAAAAACAATCATCCAAATGAATGTGGGTAATGTTGATATGCCTGAGCCTGCACATATTCACTCTTTACATCATTGCTGGTTTCTCCGACATCAACTTGATATTTACTTGATCGCTGTTGGTTGATTGAATAGTCTGACCTGATTTAAGGTGGAATGTGCCTCTGTTTTCCTCTTCTCATGTGCTTTCATGTCTCTTCATCAATATTTGCTGGTTGTGCTGGGTAGGTAACAAGAAAATGATACAGCTGTCCTGATACAGTCTAGCAGGTAGATTAATCAATTCAATACTAAAACAGACTTCTCAAATCAATTTAATACAATTTATTTGGCAGAACAATTTGAAATACTGACAAATAATACCAATCAATGTCAACTCTGCAGTCCAGAGACTTATGTTAAAGATCGTTTGTGTTAACAGCAGTGCATCTAAATATACAAGCTCAGGTTGAAACACAAACGCCACAGATTAGTGTTCCAGAGTAGGGTGTATCCAGAGCTGGTGACAGGATAGCTGCATAGTTGTACAGTGGTTTATTCAATCAAAATGCAAAGAGAAGAGGCCTGCTGGGTTTTTTTTTTATGTTTGTTTTGACTACACAGTACCTCAGTCAGTCTGAACCGAATCTGACCTCCACAAGCGTTGGGCTCTGGATTTCTGGATTGTCAAGTCAATAACAATTTCATCTTTTACTACACGATAAACTGAAGTAAACTCATCTCTCTCGTGTCCTCTCACAGTTCTGATGCCACTCAAGTAGACATTTTCTGTATGTATTGCTGTGCGGGAGAACAGGGGTAGGTTAGGGGATTGGGAGTTGAAGGCAGAGTGTATATTTGTGAGTTTTCTGCCACTTTCGCTTTGGGATGTAAAGGTCTATATTGTGAGTGTTGACATTTTAGGAACCGTACCTGTTTTTATATCTGGTTTGTGTCCGTGTGTGAGTACGACTGTAGCACAACATTACCATGTGGGTGTATACTTTTTTTTTTTTTAAATTGATCGTTATCTCTTTTGTACACATTTTTAGGAGTGTGCCTGTGGCTGGCAAGTGAAGTTTCTCTGCAGTCTATCAGAAATGTCTGTACAGGGAGGTCTGTCATACATGCACTTTACTCCCTTTTTAATTTTTAATGTGGCCCCTTTTTTTTTGTATGGTTGCTACTTTCGGGGAGCATGCTTAGGTTGTAGCCGCTGTTGGGTATGTGTGTTTATTGTCAAAAACTGATTTTGTTGTTTTATTTTAAACTATCATTGTAAATAGTCTTTTATATCATGTGCTTCAACTGTGACCATTAAACAATGGAAATTATTGGAGTGTTTTTGCTGTGACTCTGTGCAGGAATATAAGGTCAAACAAGGTTAAACAAAAGAAGATCACTGCATGTTTTAAGTTTTTGACATCATATAGCGGTTATATTGTATATGTAGGAAAAAAAAGTCCACAATTTCCCAGATCTTAGTGACATCTTCAGGTTCAACTAACAGTTCAAAACCCACAGCTTACTATTATATATATACAGATAAAAGCAGAACATCCTCACATTCGGTAGCAGACAATGTTTCACAATTACCTATTTAGTGACTAATTAGTTATCATAGTTGTCCATTTTAATCAATACACTAATAATTTCAGCTCTGTTCTGAATACATTTAGCAGTGTAAGAAGCACATTCAGTCAGGTTAACACTTCCTTATTTCTTCAGTTAATTTTAGCTTTCACAACATGTCACAGCATTGTGGTGGTTTTCCATACGAGGTGTATTTTCTCAGTTACTTTTGAAACATTTTCTTGAGTTTACAGTTTAGTGAAGTTAAGGGATCGGTCACAAAAATGACATTTGAAACATTAGAGCAAGCTCATTCCACAACACAGTGTATGTTTCTTTGAAAGCAGTTTGAATGAAAACTGAAACTCTCAGAATGAGTATACCAGATTGGTATTTTCTAAAACCATAGCAACACATATCTGGCAGTGTGGAATAATTGCTGTTTTCCTTTTTCATAACATACCTGTGGAGACATCTTACACCATAATTAGAGAAACAAGTGTGAGTGACGTGTTGATATCTTGGTACTCTGTGTTCTTGTTAGTCAAACTTACTGCTGTCACCATTGGTAAGCCAGAAGCTCCAACTAAACCTTAAGTACCTTAAGTTCTCCACCCCAATATAGCACAGATTTCCTGCAGTATAAAACCTAATGAGTAAACATGTTGCATTGTAATTCTTCTGATGTTTTGTTCTCTTTTTCTCCTCACGCCAGTCCCAACAGCAGGATGCAGGAGCTCTCAGAGGGATTTTATAAAGCTCTTTGTTTTGTGAGCGACAGTGAATTGATAGACAGCAAGGATAAGGAATTAGCAAGATCCCTGGTCAGCATGCCCTTCTGGTGTCCAGGTGTGTAATATCCAAGACTCATTGTGCACCAACTACAAAGCTAGAGAAGTGCTTACTTTGTAACATCCCATTTCACAGCCTTTGGTCCACTAACTAGTGCAACTTACTGTCAGTGTCAGTGGATATGTAACATTTGCTCAAATTAAGTACAAATTCAAGGTACTATGGTTCATTTAATGCAACTTTATACTTCTGCTCCACTACATCTGAGAGGCAAATATTGTAAGTCTGACAGCTTTTGTTTTTTCAAATGACACATTTTCATACCTTTCCTGTCCAGTGGAAACAATGCATCTCCTATTTCCTAAGACAAATAAACTATTTAAAAATCCTCTTGGATTAGTTGGAAATGCATTGTCACAAAGCTGAAGAACAGGAACGGCCCTATCTGGAGCCAGTTTTTAGTTTGTCCGTTCTGGACTACTGTAGAAACATGGGCAACCCTCCACGTCTGTAGATACAGAGTCAGGTGATTATACACTAATTACAACAAAACTATGAATATTATATTCCATTTCTGCCAACAGAAAGAAGGTTATACACTGGACTAGTGGGTCACCATTTTTTTCTGGAGTCATGAACCGCCCTACTCAGTCTTTTATTGGATGGTACTCGCTGCCTTCATTTTTGTTTGGTTTGGTTGGTTGAGATTATTTAGGGTTAGTTTAAGAATGTGATCCTATCAGAGGTAGAGTAGGGCGGGTCATGACTTCGCCATCTTCATCTTCCCCAAAAAAGATCCCCCGTGGGTCTGCCATATTTCTAGAGCAGACAAACCAAATACTAGCTCTAGATAGGTCCGTTCGCACATTTCGTGGCCACCTAGTTTCTCCTTTGTGCAAAAGGGGAGGGTGAAGTGAGGGACTTACACCACTAGATGCCACTAAATCCTACACAGTGGACCTTTAACGCCTGGAAATAGGCTGTCAACTACTAGAAAATTGTTAAAATACCATAAATACTGATCTTAGCAGAGTTAGAAGCTCACATCCTACAGTTGTTTGTATGCATTTCTCTATACTGAGTTCACTTTTTCAAAACTCTTCTCACAGTCAATGTGGACAAAACTGTGGATCACTTCATTGCTTTGACACAAAATGAATTCAGTGAGTATTCAGTGAACTATTTTTGTAGCACCACCAAATGCCTGTATTTACACTCAGTTTTGCTCATACACACAAAATACAAACTATTTTACAAATGGTTATGGTAGTTTCAAAACTATAATACAAGACAACATTTTAATTAAATTAAATTAGACTGCAATTTTCTACATTCTGCTACAAAAACAATTCCTATAGGGGAATTATTGTTCTCATGGAGGTGGAAAGTTTATGACCACCAGCCACATGATTTCTCTCGATGCCTGAACACATCTGCACAATTGCCACCAAGGATGGGTCATGCATGCGAAAGATTATTTCCCAGGTAAAGTAAAAAATTCCACTTCAAAGATATTATGCTACCCGTTGTATGTGATTTTTTTAGACGTAATTTTGTTACTGGTCTGGTGTTATTTGTCAACGGTGACCCCTAAAGGCACCATCAGATCACCTGTGTGTGTGTGTGTGTGTGTGTGTGTTTATTGTGTTTTGAAGCAGGGGTAGACTTTAAATCATACGACTATGAAGGAATCTGGGTGTCAGCGATTTACAGCCATTAGAAGGCCTTTGACTGTTCAATAATAGATAAGGCTTAATGGCTTCTTTGCTGCCGCTTCTGGCCGTGTTTGACATGTAGTGAGATAATGAATGTAAAAGAGTGCTGGGTCACATGGTTAACATCCTATTTTTTGGTGCTGAAAATGTCCCCTTGTTTCCTGGTGTCTTTTGGCAACCACCTGTCTGTGTGTTTTCAACATGCGTCCCCCATTTCTAGAGAGGTCTGTAAAATATTCAATATATAAACAATCAGTGCTTTAAAATCTAAAGCCCTGAATGACTACTTACAGATAAATAATCACAAATGAGAAGGGTGAGTACTAGTTTGTCATGCAGTAAGAGCAGCAGCATGCGTTTCTATATTCATTACATCTACAATGTCCTTCATGTATTTGTCATCATATGATATCCTTCTAAACACAGGTTTGTCTGTACGCCTTAGGAAGGCTCTATGTTAGAACAAGTAACAGCAGGAAAGCCTCCTTTCAGCTTGAAGCTCATTTTCTCTTCCAGATAAAACAGTAAGACTTTGAAACCCGGATATATCAGTTCTGAAAGTGTTATCAACCCAGTCCATGACTGCCAGTGGCATGTCCGGGCCATTTTGAAAGAAGTGAACAACATTGGGCACCGACTCAGATAAGACTGCTACTGAGCACACCATTTCAGGAGCCCCCTGTACCTGCTTCCTTCATAGTGCAGGAACACAAACTCACAAACAAATACCTCACTCAAGCATAGCTAAACAATATGGTGACAGCTTTGCTTAGACATTGAAATGACAGCTGATCCCTCTTACATTGCCATGTCATAAAATCCAGTTGGACAGCCAGCTTTTGTAAGCAGTCAGTATCTGACAAATTCTTACATAAAATATCTTCTTGTGTTGTCAGGTTACCTTCATGTAAGTGTGAAGTTTATTTTCACCAGCATCAGACATTTTGAAATTTCAGGTGTTATTAATAACATTGATGATGCTTTAGTGTGACAGTGTACCAGGACCATAAAACTGAAGCAGAACCCTGTCTCCTATAATACACACACACAACAATTCCTATATACAGGTGATTACACACTAATGAAAACATACCTATGAATATTAATTTCATTTCTAATAATAGATCCTCAACACTGGTCCTTTAAGACCAGAAGACCAGAATCTTTCCTAACCAAGTGCTGTGAGTGCCTAAACAAAACCATGAGACACTTTTGTTGCTATGATTGGATATGGAGACCATATGAAATACATTGTCAGTTAACATTTTACATATCAATATATCAACATCT